ACAACTAAAGTATAAATCAAATAATCTATAAATAATCGGAAAATCATGAATCGCGAAGTGACGTGTAGAAGATATAACGAAATTAATATATATATGAGTACAATAATTTCGACCAATTATTTTTTGGCCAAACACACCATCTCATTCTTGCTATATATAAATTGAATCGGTTTCAAGCTTAAATTTAGCTATTCCTAGCTTCTATACAATAAATAGTCGTTAAAGATGCTTTAACGTATAAGTTCCTTTTCGATCGATGAGTAGGATAGCTCTTAGCTTTTATTTTCGAGTGCGTGCAACGAATAAATTATGAGACCTGCATATCAAGCTAAATTTACTGCAGTAGAGACTTAAATCCGTGTGAACATGATAGAATTTCGATTGTTGGTTCACCTTAGATCACCTTGCGTATCGTGTGTCGAACTTGTTGGTTTTCTCGAAGATGCGATTTTGTTAAACCTCGACGTACAGAAGTGGAGTGAATCATATTGAGACATGAAAACAAAACGATAGCGGCGCATCTATCCGTCCATATTCCTAATATCGTTCATAATTAACGTTGTCGATTGGTGAGTAATGCTCATTAAAAAATTGGTCGATGAATACAGCCATATATATTGTTTTTGTAGCTTACTTCTGTTTATTCAACTTTTGCTTAAATATACATCTTGGTGGTGTATCCTGACTGTGACTGCTAAGCAGTAGGCTTGCACGTAATTGACAAAAATCAATTCCGTAATTACGGCAAAATCAATTACGTAATGACCCCGTAATTGCGATATTTTTCCACGCATTTAAACCTATCATAACAACCAATTGAATCCACTTCTTTTCCGAAGGGGACATTGAAGTTGGGTTTTCATATTCTTGGCAGTACTACACGCCGTCGGCAGATGTTAAAGACAAATATCAAGGAGTGAATTCAAATTAATTTTATTCTGATTTTTATCTTTTGTGTTAGCTTTGGTTTTCCTTTATCACCTTCGCAAATTAACCGTCCCATTTTTATGCGATCAATTTATTTTATCATTACCGACACTGGTATACGGATATTTATGGAAACGATAGTTTTTTAAAACCACCTTAGTACTGAATAAAAATTACGGGTTTCTAATTTATTAACCAACGACGAGCGTATTCTCTCGTTTGATTATACTTGCGATTTCCTCGCGACGAAGACTTGTTTTTGCAGCGTCTTCTGCATTATCCGACATTACTGCCTTGTTAGCATTTTATAATAATAATTATTGATGTCGACTTATTGACGATATTCCGATTACCATGCTTCATTTTACATTTAATCATTTCGCGGACTGAATGTTTATAACATTATTTGCGATAAATTTAGATCAAATATTATTTATTTGAGTATAATTTAAATATCGAACTTATATGATATGCCTTCTCCGAAAATACAAAGTTATATCGCAAAACAATGCATTTTGTGACATTTATTTTACACTCACGACATTTATTTGCTAACTCAAGTCGGCGATCCTATCGGCCAAGATTGACACAAGTTTGGTCGAGTGCCGGTGGTATTCAAGTCGACGATAAATCAAAATAAGTTGCCGCATTTGGTAAGACAGTTAATCATATATGGCCGAAATATTGAGAGGAATTGTGAAAAACATCATGAGCAAGGCCAAGTCCGGACTGATATATAACGATAAAACCGTTAACAGAACATCAAGATTTTGTAATAGAAAATGGATCTCGCACAGAATAAACACACTGGCTCATATTTGATTATATATGATAGCAGTTAAATTTTTAGCGGTCCGCGAGGAATCCGTCGTTTTGCTGTTTCTCTGCCGTCTCAATCGCTTTACCGATGCCGAGAAGACGAAGTTGCGTTGGTTCATTACGCAATCTCTCTTTTGTCGTCATATTGCTATTTGATAAGCGCGACATTAATTATCACGGCGAGGTATTGGCGCGAGTGATCAATCGCTCTTTTCGCTTATTTGGTTCCAATTCGTCGCGAAAGCTCTTCGTTAAATTTCACAAGATCGTCGTGTTGAAAGGTTATGGATATTTTCCTGTTTATACCCCAAGTCTGAAATAAAACAGCCAAAAACAGTATGATATTCCATGTTCATATATCAAGTGTTGATATTAACAATAAAGAATGGTTAAGCATTGCTAATCCACACTTGGTGGGGAATTCCCACTATTTAAACGCGTGACTATAAAATAGAAACGGAACATATATACCATAAGTAACGGAAAACTGGAACAAGTAAATAATAAATAAAAGTAAAATGGATACAAATGTTTGATAGACCATGTTTGAAAGATTGATCTCCTGCGTTCATTAGTCATTTCACCCGAAGAAGTTGAAACCGGGCGTGTTAGCGTCCATCGGTCTTAACACAATTCTTCCCCCTATCTACGGTTATTATGTACATTGGCCATGGCCATGCTAGATAAGATGCGAGAGAAGTTGAAACCAGGTGTGTTGGCGTCAATCGGTCTCAACGCAATTCTATCCCTTATCTACGGTTAAGTTACGGGAGAAGTTAAAACCAGGTGTGTTGGCGTCAAACGGCCCTACTCAGTTCTTCCCCCTTAACTACGTTAATAATTTACATTGGCCATGCCAGAGAAGTTGATAATAGGTTAGTAAATGGCAACGCGTCATGCCTTCCTTCACCTACGTAACAAGAGAGAGAGAAAGAAAAAACGGCTGCGAATACCGGAACTCTAACTTGTTCTACTTGTTGAGCTTTCATTTTTCGCAATCGACGAAATTGACTGCTTTGAAGAAAGCTCGTTTCAATGCAATAATTACGACTTTACGTAATTCGTAACTTTCCTTCCGTAACTCCAAATAATTACGTAATTACGTAAATCCGTAAATTACGTGCAAGCCTACTAAGCAGAATTTTAAAAAATTGCACTTTGGTTCAAATGGTCTCTCATAAAAACCTATAAGAGACTAAATTAAAACATAAACATATAGAAAAGTTGATGCACTGAATCACCGTTTAATATTGCTTTTTTAGTTTTATTTCTGGTATAAACATTTTTCCTGGTCGTGGTCAACAAAATACATGATTGCCGTGAAATTATATAGGTTTTATCAGACCCACAAATAATTTGATATGTATTCTGTTGTCACGGATTTATTTGGTGTTGAACGTATTACTTGCTTATCAGTTTTCTGGTATTTTGCAAAGTAACATTTCTTGTTGAGCAACCAGTATAAATTTTATCTGACACCATCTACTGTTATGTACATACATTATAGGAAGATGTAGAAATACAAGTATGAAACCACAGATATTTTGCATTTCCGTAAAGTTGAGGAAACTCGAATCTGTAAAGATATTTGTTCTTTTTTGTCACGTGTAAACACCATTGCAGTTGAAAATTCGAAACAGATTTGACCAAATTCCATTCAGACTTGTAAATTAGTAATGCTGACGCATTCCGTCCTAAACCGTGGATATGGCTGTATAAGGCAAAATTTGTGCTAACCTACTGGGTTCGTATTCTTCATTCCACGAAAAAAACTGTTTCTCCTTGCAAAACGCATAAAAAACAATCGCTGAAATTTCATAACTAACGAAGCAACATGATATAATGCAAATATTTCATGCTTGCTAGGCCCTGTTCCGGTATGCATTTTTCAACTAAATACTGAATGTTGGTTGAACAATGCTTACGATTCATATAGGGTTAAACACGGGGCGTAAACAGACTTTAAACAGAACATTTGAGCTCCGTTTTGGTGAGGGTCACCATTGATCGTTGCTTAGCCATTTCTGGACCATTGGAGGACAACGTCAAGTTGGCTTGATTTGTCAATGTCTTTATTTCAAGCTCAAATTCATTGCCATCAATGACTGAACGACTTAGTTATTGTTGATTAAAGTTTCGCTTCAAGGACTGGATTCTCTAAGCGCATCAAAACATTCTATTGGGAGAATTAGCCCTTGGATTTTGGTTTTACTAAAAGGATTAAAAATTTTGTTTTTCAGGGGAGCATGCTAAATATTTCCGGTGTGGGTCACGATCTATTTATACAAATTAAGAACATTTTTGAGTAGAATGCAAACTTGGATCTTTCACACCCTAACTATCAAAGACTCGAAACTATTTTTAGCCTCACTGCCATACCAAGCTAGTCCCCTGAACCGAGGATTAACGCGGATTAGACATCGTTCCAGGGGGCAATGTCGCGAGAAAAAATGCCTTTCAATGGTCATCTGACGATCAAAAATTTATGTGCTCAGACGATCATTTTCACAGCCGTATTTTATGTAAAAATGAAAAAAAAATTCTGTACAATATTTGCACATCTGTTTAAATTGTGAATGTGATGAAAAATAGTCATTTGACAGAACTGATGAATTTTTGTTTCGTGATTACTGATAAAAGCAAAAATGACAACGAGATAACATATTCGAAGGAAACTGAGATAATGAGGGCTTTTACTGACCACTTGAGAAAAACTTTTTTTCAAACTTTTCCTTGACATAATTTTACCTTTTTTATTGAAAAATCAGTGGTTCGGCTTCGTACAAACCTTTTAGTGGTCTACGAATACACCTCATAATCCCAGGCATCTTTTTTAACAGGCTGGCAATTTCCGTGACACCAGCTGTAGTTGTATGTTTGTGTATTGACTTGCGAATAATCTCGTATACGATTGTGAAATACAAGTTACAGATACCACATGAACAAGAATCGATCTAAATTAGTCAACATTTACAAATTGTTCGCTAACCATTACGAAAGATATACACATAAAATGTTTCGACATACTTTATGCCATCCATTTTAGAGCAACGTATTTTATAGCGACAATGATAACATAGCTTATAGCGCAAGACTCAATAGGCTGGTCTAGCTCAAGCGAAACGTCATACAACCCAAATCCTTTTCATAAACCTATTTTGGGGCAAGTACTGGCTTATATTATAAAAGAATATTCTAATCCCATACTGAACTAATCCCACTCAGATTTCCGGACAAAGTGAAGACCAGAGCTGTAGATAGACTGCATCATCATTGTATTAGAGAAAATATTTGGCAACGAAATTCAGCAAAATAACAAATCAGTCAAAATTAGAAAAGAAATTGAAAAATTCATCTCCGGCCACAGAAAAATGGGGCGTGATTTTACATTGTCCCATCGCCATATATAATAGTAACATAACATTCTTGAAAATATATATTTTTTTCGCTAACCTGTTGACCTATAACTTTTATTAGTTAGGTAGAGAAAGGCCCTAATCGGAATTCATGTGATCTCTTCGTGGATGGGATATCAATATACATTTACCCTAGTATGTAATTTTAAAAAAAATTGCGATTTTTTCCAAAGTATTCTACACTGCAGTTTTTGATTTCCTGATTATAAGCACGAACCGCCACAAACAGACTTTTGTAAATTTGAACCAGTCGCGACATCTCAGCATTCTTGCTTCACACCATCTCGACAAACACGCAAAACTGTTTTAAAGCAGTTTTCCCCCACGTCTTAGCGCATGTGCAGTGACACGAAAATATAGAATTTCTACAGAGGTCATTAGCATTCTTGCGGTAAGAATTTCATCTCGCCTTTCGCGTTCGACGAAAACAACCGACGGATCGAAAATTTAAACTTTGTTCAAAACTTTATCTCACCCCGCCATTAAATTATCAGATGACGGATAGAAAGCGAACTGTCAAAGATGGCGTCAAATTAGGTTACCATCGCAAGCTTTTCGGTCAGTAACCACTGAAAAATACCTGGCGCCGCTGCAGTCGTTTGCCATCTAGTCGATATCCATTTACATGTCGTGTATGGCATGAACGATTCCATACTGAAAATATGGTTATAAAGTATTTACTCACAAGCCAGGCATTAACTCTAGCTTGATAAATCATAAATTGACAATATTACTAACAAAAAACCTATTTCAACTTGTGAGTTAATATTTTCAACGAAAAAATTGCTAGTTTTCAGCGAGACTTTTCTATGACCCATCGGTATTTATATATAAGATATGTAGGAATTGAAAAATTTTCAATGCGATGAAAATTATAGAATTATAAAATATAGGCTTAAGCATAGCATCTCATCTCTCATGGATAAGCGGTAAAAGCAGGTAAAAGTCGCAAAAAACATCACCCACTAAATACAACATATACTATTTTGTTTATAGACGTCACGATGACGTCATCAAACGCAAATTTAATTTGCTTTATGAGAAATCGATTTTGGACGGAGATGATGACTTTATAGTTGGTGACGTTTATTTAACAACAAATTTTTGACTTGGTTGATAGAATACTATCTTTTTGAAAAACAATTTAAATGGCAAAAAAGTAGGAAAAAAAGATTAAAGGAATAATAAACAAATGAAGAAGCGGTATTATAGTTGTTGATTAGAAATAATTTGTTTAGCAAAGAAAAGAAAAATAACACAATAAAATAACATAAAAACGAAAAAAGTGCGAAACTCAATATTTAAGGCAAATCGATTATAAAACACATGAAATATGGTATATCGTCTGCAAATATGAAAGCAGAAATTGTAAGTCTTTTATCTATGCAATGATTGAAAGCAATTGTGGTTCAAAAATCGATTTTTTGCCTAATTTATGCAAAGAATTACACAAACACATCATTTATTTTGAATTTCCGAGAAAACTGTTATATTTCACACGAACATGCGAGAAATGGAAAATCGAAAAAAAATCAGACTTATTACTGATATTTCCAAGTGCTATTCGTGTCGAAATCCTGTTAGCAAATAATCGTGACTCTGTGAATATCGAACGTATTCACTGAAATTAAATCCGTGTGAAAATTTGCTTTTTGCAAATACAAAAACGTCAATTCTCTTGATAAAACCTCGCTTAAATGTTCTGTGAAATACGCCAAGCCTGCACAAGTTGCTTTCGGATCGATATGTTAATCGTCGGCGCCTTTGGCAGACGAATTTGGACCCTTTAATCGTTTTAAGTGGCTTAATGCAGGCTGTTGCATCGCTTTTCCATCAGTAACACTGTTCGGTATTTCGTTTGTATTGGCCAAATCGAGCGCTCAGTTTTCGGCCGGTAATTGTACCCTGTCGCGAAGTCCTACTCATGCGGACTTTATTCTCGGCGATCAGCATACTTATTGAACATTCTGGAACTTTAGTGTTGCAATATATGATTGTAAAGCTATCAAACTTCCATTGTTGAACCTGCGTGATCCATCATAGTTTCGTTATACGGCGGTGGCGCGGGTAAATCTTGTATTTCTAAATGGTGGTGATGACTGTTCGGCCTCCCTGTTGAATGCACGCGAAGCTGAGCAGCTTGGTGCGAGGGAATGCGCATTAGGGTGACTTGAGTTTGTGGAGTAGGACTCCTGCTGGCGACGATTCCTGGGTGGTGCTGATATTTCTTGACGTGTCGTCGCTTTCGATAAACTTTGTATCCCAAAAAACCCAATAATACAATAAACAATACTGCGCAAGCGCCAAGGACGACGCCGATTACTAGTCCATTACTGTTCACTAGTTCAGTGTTGTTGCTTTCCCTTTTGCCACCTGTAAAAATAGAAATGGAATCAGATTTAGACAAAAATTCCTATATTAGGTGAAAAGCCGATGGCGGACATTCGACACGCTTGGTCGCTGGGAAGTATCAAAATAGCATTAAGAAATACAATTTTCTATTAATAAAAAATTTTCATGTAGACAAAATATATTTATTATAATTTTTCCGATGTAGCAACAATTAATGGAATCGATTTATCAGCAGTTTCAGAAATAAAAATCTGACTTGATTCAACTTCAGACGAAAAACACTGAAAATATATTATTTATTGCAAATTCACTACAGCTAACCCTTTCACTAAAATCAGAATTTAAAAATAGATATGATGCTATTGTGTTTCGACATAACTGGTTGGCTAATTTGATATATTTAGTTATGCCAAAGTTTTATTGTGATATTTTTATAACAATATAATTTTATGACATGATATTGACAATATCAAAAATGAAGAAGAAAACACATGTGGCCTCAAATAATTCATGAGTGCGCCACTCTAATTTTATTTTGAAGGTTTTTATTATTTTGTTATTCTCTACTCAATTTTTGATCAATTTTATCCCAGTCGCTATCGCGGACTTGAGCCATTGTTTATAATCTTATACAGGAAATCGATATGAAAAATCAATATCAAGAATTCTCAGGCAGATTACATGACGAAATAGCGCAATCCTGTCGCATAGAAGAGTCTGACCAAATAACGCAACTACTTTGAAGTGATAATTCCGACCTTCTTTGTCTTATTCATTATAATATTTTCGCTATTGATTAACTATATTATTTGGATTTTGCTTGAACCATAAACAGGAAGGCCGATACCCCAATAATTTGAATATTGCAAATTTTTTTCCAAATTTCATTGTGAATTCGAGTAATCTGTTTTGCCTGTTTCATATACATAATAACGTCAATGCATAAATGTCAAATTTTACATACAGAGGAATTTTGGTTATTAGAATGTTTATAAAAAGGCCAGCATTAAAACAGAAATTCATTTAACAAATCTTTTTGTCCTAGTCCTACTGATATCACAATTATTACAATAAGTGTAACCACGAAGACAAACAAGGTGGACTATAAAAAATCAAGGAGCAAATCATGCACAGTTGAGCATGTATAATGTCATAAATTTGAATATGGGTGAATTTTTTTTTTGGAGCGTCGGATTGATATCGTTTTGGTTTATGAATAGGCCAGGGTGGCTGTATCCAGAAAATATCGCATCCATTAACACTATACAAATCCTTTGCTAACAGTTTTAAGGTACATGCACCAACTGCCCGCACTGAGAAATGTTAAACAAAAAAAACCTACCGCCTCCGCCTTCCTCAGTATCAGTATTTTCGTTTATGTTTTCTTTATACGTGTGTCGGATGGTGTTAATTGGTCTCGGCAATACCGTTGGTGACGGTGGTTTATGTACATCAGGTACGATTGTCTTTGGAACATCTTTATTGCGTTTACCTGAAAATTAAAAGAACACCATAAGAGGAAATCAAGATTTCTCCGATTCCTAGTAATCTATGCTTTATTTAACAGCTTTTTTATATTTTTCATTTTTTGGTTCGTTCAAAGCCACAGACAAGCAGCCACCAATAATAAAAATAAAATACTGCCAAAAGATCTTTTCGGTTCGGTATTGACAGTTAAACTGATTTAAATTTAAATTTGGTGTCACCCTGTAATTTAATTTTGTGCGAAGCTCACCGATGAAGAAATATATGTCAATTCTAAAGATGACTATCGTTTCATTACCAAAAACGTTACTAAACCATCGTACCTAATTGTGATCACATATAGAAATCTTAAAAAAAAATCAATCACAGCAAACTCGTGCCTAAATTTATATATTTTATGCGATATTTTTCAATATACAAGAATTAAATTATATTTAATTTCGCTTACGCAATATCAGTATATTCAAATTGACATCCTTGGTCCGATGCTCATTTAAAATTATCTCATAAAAAAATCACAGAAATTGGGAAATCTGGAATCAATGTAGATTCTTAATGAATTATCGATTATAAGTATTTTTCTTACCATTTTCTTTGACTGTAATCATAAGACGCATGTTCTTCTCCGTGCATGCTCCTCCTTTCTCGTTTTTAATGCCAGAAACAGTCCCGTCAGAAGTTGCTGAAACAAAAAAGACAAGGTTAAAATGTATGTAAGAGTATACAGCACGAGTCAGAACAAACATCAATGTATTAATACTCTTTGTAGGCCTACGTTTTCGACTTTCCTGTAATTATTATAAAACAAGAGCGAAAGTTATTGTGAGCAATTGGAAACCATTTTCTTCTAAACTTTAAAAATTTAGTTAATGCGATTGGAGAAGATAAAGTGTGTGCTCTTTTCATTTAGGGGTTAGACAAAATGAGGCAAAATACTTCGCTGCAAAAATTATGTGGAATCGTAATGTACATAAGCAGAATATGATATTCCCACGTAACATAATTGCTAAAACGTTTTATAATAATATTAGTGGTATTTTAACGCAATAAATTACCATAGCTCGTAATGGTAATATGATGCTACACATAACATGATGATTACTGACGGCGATCTTTATAAACTTGAACTGAACATGAAAAACTTCAACTGAAAAATTATATTTTGCGGTTGAACGAACATTTTTATTACAATCGTCATTTTTTTGAAGACAGCAGAGAAAAATGAGACTCAAAACAATTTCTTTTTTGGCTTTGTTCATTTCTAGATCCTATTACCAAATTGATCAAATTTCAAAAATCAAGTGTGACTGATTTTATGCTTGAATAACTACAGTTTGATTTATTATCAATTTTAATCGTCACCTACGATATGAATTTGTATATTTAGTGGAAGACATTTTGGGCGTTCAAAATCAAAATGGTGTACTTCACAGTCAGCCAGCCTATGTGGTTAAAACTTGACGCGCCAAATACCATTGTCAATTCTCAATACAACGGATGATGATAATAGACGGGAGAGGCAGTTTATCAGGTTTGATATTACCCAGACATTTGATATTATAAGGCTCCTCTTATCTTGAAAATTGACAGTGGAGAATGGTAAACAAATTTTGAGATTTAAACAAAAGAAAACAGACGATACAATCTAAGTTTCCAAGAAATTTTTGTTTCCCATTTTTCAAATTTTTTATGATTTTATTATAAAAATTGGAAATAACGACGACATAAAAAAATGTGTATGCACGTCAAAAAATTCCTAAATTCAAATATCTTTGTAGTACAAATTGACGCTTCGAATTTCGTGGTCAATCCTTTACAAAAATTAATCCATCATTCAATTATCGCTTTTCCAAAACAAACGAATAATTTCGGTTTGGAATAGTCATTCTACGTAATGTAACAGAACAGGCATGTTTTAATATCGACGCGGGACATTTACAAAATTATTTACTTAATGCCAAGACGCTTGTATTTTCATGCTGAGGCTAAAAGTACATAGCTTAATTAAACTTTAATAAGACCTTTATCGAGTGGTTCGTCTAATAGAAATACCTAGACCGAAGCGTTCAGTCCACAAACAGTAATTTTCAAATTTAAATATACGCTTTGCAGCTTTTTCGTGCGTCACGACACATAGTTGAAGATGTTTGGTTGTATCAATACAGGATTAAGTCAAATCCTACTATTTTCGAATGTCAAGTCTCAGACATTGAACTTGAAGGCTGAATTTTAAATAATGTTGTAATTTGCATATTCTGTGAACATGCTTACCGTTTCATATTGCACAAGTGTCAATCATTCTGAACAAATCTAAAGCTGCAAACATCATATCCATATTTTTAATAGTTAATAGACAACTAAAACATGAAATGGCCAGAATGCACCAATAAATTCATTGGGCAAAAAAAAACACTAAAACCGGCCAAAAACGTTTCCTGATATACTGTAACAGCAGAAATGCTATGGGCCAAAAGATTTAAGCTAATTCAATAATTTTATATCCTGTGTGATCGTAAATAGTGAAGTAGTATTAGTATACCAAATTAAAAATAGTATACAATAGTTAGTATTTTAACGGTTCATTCATTTATCTTCTTTTATTTAGATATAAAAATGGAAACGCTTGTATTACGGATTGAACGTGACGATGCCAACTGTTGTGAAATGGTTACCATTTCTGATTGGTTGATAATAACACAGCAGAACTAACCGATATATATAATAATGTCATTGATCTCTTTAAAACAGAATGATCGGATTTTCGCTACATATGAACCGTGCAAAAATGCACCTGCACTCAGTGTATTCCGCCGTTGTTAACCTAACATTAAGTCGGATTTTCGGCGAAGTTTTAATTACACAACAGATAATCAAATGGTACGTGCGCTCATCCTCGTACACAACATAAAAAAGCGCTACGGCATGTTGATGGACGGGATAAGGATTCAGCATTCCGACAAAAATAAGCATTTCGAAACCTTATTTATTAGATTACTGCGAAATCGAGATTATAAAGGCACATTTTTAAATAGTTTTGGGTTCAACAGTCAATCGCCAACCTTCGTTAAAAATTCTAGTGACAAATATTACAAGTTCGTGCATCAATTTTTAATTTTCAATGATAGTAATTTGAAAATGGTTGATATAATCAGAATGATTCAATATTAAACAAAACTTCACATCAAAGTAAAAGGCGAACCGATGACAGAATTCTAGCGAGAAAAATGCGTAGATTAAAATCGAGTTTTTTTTTTATCTTCGAAAATTTTTATGGGGTCTTAATTTATCAGAAGCTCCGTGCAAAATTTACACCAGTTTCTTAAATAGTTTTGTTCTTCTTTTTCGTTCAAAGCACCTTTAATCTAATCTTGCCTGCAAGATGGGTCAAAATCTCCATAGCGTATATAATGAGGCCTTTTTAATTTAATTTTTAGTGCTTTTGGCGATGATGATTATTAATCCTGTGAAGGTTAGTGGATTGTGGTATTATGCCATGGACAAAAAACACCTGTTACCTTAAACCAAAGCTTTGCCATTATTCCCATTGAAGTCAACAATATTGCTGATGAGAAAAGTGCAAATTAAAATCAAAACCACTGTAATTCAAGATAATATTATCCTGGGCCTACAACATCATGAAAACATAGGTTTTCAGAACCGCAGACAAAACAATTATCAGAATTGTATGATGAGAGTATAGATTTCGATGTAAATTTTTAATAGTGTATGCATATATGTATATATTATCGGCGGATTCTACCGTATATCCACCAATGTATACACGCACCATATGTGCAAATCTACCGCCAGCTTGTTTTGGATGAGTGCGCGTATCGCCTTAACATTTTTCAGAAAAAATCGCAGGTGGCCGTTTTCTTAATTACAAAAAGTGCAAGGACTTGTTTGTTTTGGCCAAACAACGACAAAACCCACGAAACAAAGAAATTGCTATTTAAATGAGAAAACGAAAATGGCCATAGATAAATTTCACCAAATCCATAATCAAAGCCATATTTGAATCATACATGATGATTGACGAATGGATTATCCCAATTGACAGCTAAAGAGGTTCGATCCGACCCAACTCATAGTGTTTATAACAGACTCGTAATGACCGCGGGGATTATCTCCATACCGTTTATTGTTTTTTGAACTTAGTCATTACTTTATATCAACTCATGACGGCAATGACACATGGGATTGTGAGATAAATTATAAATATTTTAATTCCAAATTTAACCACATTTGAACGAAAATCATCAAAGGACTTTCGAATGTCGATGACATAGACAGGTACTGTACTCCGAAAAACAATGAATTTTTTGAAAAACATTCTAGAAATATTAGTGATGCAGTGTAGTTTTGAAATCTATCAACTCTATCTAGTTTTACAACAAGGAAATATGCATTTTCAAATACATTGATTCCGGCTCATTTGTGAATGTGGCAACAAATAAGGGTGGTAGAAAATTTTTGGTCAATCTTAAACTAAATGTGAATAACCTTTATTTTATCCACGTCCTACAATTAATTTTTAAGAATGAGACTACTTGATTATTGGAATTGAACTAATTATATGAATGGTACATATATTTACATAGTGAAATACATATCACACTATTTTTCCATTTTATAAGATAAATAACACTACAGATTGGGTTAAATCGAGTCTGACAGGCAAGGATGATAAGGTGCAGTAGTACGGATTAGTAAATCGAGTTTCTTTCAACAATAATACCGTCATATGTCAGGCTTATCCGTCCTTGCTAAACCTTACTAAGGCTTCCGGATAGTTTCCCACAACTACGGAAGATGGGACATGTCAAACGTTTGATGTGAAAACATTGAGCCCAGGACCGTAGTCCTTCAGAAGTACCGGCGGTATCGCCCAGGGCGACATATATATAACTTATAACATAACGATTAATATTCTGCTTTAGTGTCAGTTCATACAAAATGCGGTTTAAAATAGGATTAATGGACTTGCGCATCCGCCGCAATGTATTATCAATCGGTTGTTTGTATATTTTCGTCAATATTTTTCGTCAATTTATGCTAACTGACATCTTCGAAGCGACGAAGCGAGGCCTTTATCTCGCGAAAACAAACAAAAGGCGTTGAGTGATTGTAATTTGCGGTAATGTACCTTTCGTCTTGTCTTTGCTTAAAAATTCTGGTCCATTACGGTTCAAATGTCATCAGGCTAAGTGGTATTTAAGAGAGTCCATAAAAATATTCAAACTCAATTTATAAAATGTTGAAATCGACAATATGCATTAACACTTTATTTCGATTAGAAACGTTCTCGTTAATTTTGTTTGACTGACAGTTTGGCAATCTTGAACTTTACTTTTCAGCCACGGTTCTTACCGCTGTCAAAGTAGAATACGCAAGAGAATGAACCTAAGCTGGTCAAGGTCATTTTTCACGCGAACCAGAAAAAATGACGAGAAATCTCATCCGGCAACGACCATAAAAACTGTCATCACATAAGGTTAAAGGTCGTTATTTCGGAAGATAATTTCTGCGAATATATTTAAGGTTCGTTTAACCATATTTATGGCTTGCATTTGAAGTTGTCATGCCGTCCGAAATATCTAAAATTTTCTATTCAGATAGAAACGAAGCGAAATGTAGTTGGGTGAGTATCGACATATCATTCGTATACCATGACAATTCAAACGGTATTTCGAATAATTGCTTGCTTTTCAATCATGTGAAATTTGTTAACCGCTTGCCAGATGCACAGTTGAGAGTAGTATTGTTCTTTAAGTTCCGTCACACTGAGGCTATTTTTATTTAGTGTATAGAAGACGCTTTACCTAATGGTATTAGAGTAATATTTTTTATTTGTCATTTCGACAGTTTAAACCAGAAACAAGAATGTTCCTTATCCACTCATTTCAAAATTTTTAAAATAAAACTTTCTTATATAACTCAAGGATCAATTTTTGTTAAATCCGGATTAAAAGAATGTTTCTATTGACACCAACGATCGCGTTTAACAGATTGGTATGTTGTTTGATTACAGTTTAATTATCACAATTGGACGTTATTCGCCATGAACGTTCATTTTATTTACCGAGAACGAACATAACTGCCAATTGTAAACGTAAGATAACCTAAGGCGTTACACAAATTCATTGCAAATGTTAACATATAATTATCCAAATGTTTGTGCGTCTTAATATCACATCGAACACGACACGTTCATAACATTGGACGTGACTAAGAAAAAATCAGACGGTTAGTCATCTGAAAAATTAACCAAAAATGGACTGTTTTAATTAAAATTAAAAATTGAAAAAAGCGCTCTGATTAGGTTTCGTTAGGATGATCTCAGACGAAATTCGATATAAAACCTGTTAGCTTAGAAACGCGAGATTTTGATTCGATTTTACTAAAATGATTCGTGAATCTTGATGTTTCAAATTCAAGTTAGGAACACCCCTAATCCAATACTCTAAATTTTTTATAAGATAACCCTGCCAAAAGGGTTACGGCAATCAATTCATGGCTCGGTTCAGGTACAATTAGACTAATACCATTCGTGTAGTGTGACTTGAAATCTAGAAAATTTCGGTATGTCTGAAATTTTCAGACTTTGGAGTTATATTTCGTTTACATATATGACTGTTTTATATAAAAACAATAATTAAAGAATATAGACTGCCTTTAGGCTCCAATCAATTTTCACAGCGCCGGGACACCATCATACATTTTCAAACATTGGATATGTGAACCAATAACAATAGTGTATTCTTTTAAACTGCAACAAAGACATTTTTGATTTGGTCTCAGTATGTTCGGAAAAAGATTCGCGCTCACCTAAGCATGAAGCGATTAGGTATGCGTTCGTCTTTGTCTGAAATTGAAGTAAGCACGGTCTCAGGCCTAATGCGCCATACTTTCTTGCCAGTCGCGATGGTAATGGCCTGAAGACGTTCAAATATCGATTCACACGCATTTTGCCGCTAAGCTCACAACGAGGTACTTCAACATCGATATTCGGAATTCATAAATATGAAATAAACGCACAAAGTATTGACTTTATGGACAATTCTTCATTTCGAGTATCTACTATAACAGCTTGAAAAGCGGTAAGATACTGTTAACCGTGTGAGTAAGAACACTTAGCTTTAACGAATTGGTTGCGTTAAATAAACAACCTGGCGCGGGCGTCGATTTTTCAAGCCTAAAGTTGTTTTAGTCTGATTCTATCGGGGTGTAATCATCCCTTTTCAGACGAGTTTTCAACGGGTAACCTAACCCCGTGCATTTGTGAGTTTTGCTTCGCTGATTTTCCGAGCATCTACCCCCTGTTTAAATTGTTTACCTGACAACACGATACACCCATGGGCGGTATTTAGTATGGATTTCACCCCGTTATCGCCTATGGACCAATTATGGTAGAACAAAAGCTGGTTTCAGAGCCATCAACGCTAGCTGAAGGAGTTCTTGAACCATGGTGATTTTTTGTGGTTTAGCACGAAATTTAATGAAGCAGTCTATTTTAGAAACCCACACAAGCCTTGCTTTCATCCTAAATATTTCTGGCAAATTGAACGAGCCAAGAATAATTGAAAAATATGCTGACAGAATGCATTTGAGAAATCCTAGACATTTCTTCCTATTTATTAACGAAATTAAAACGTTGTTTCATTTTGGGAAATGAGTAAAAGCTATACTCAGACGTTAAAAGCAATCAACAGCTTAGAATTCAAACGTTTTCCAGTCGAAGCTTAAGTTACGGTTGGAGGGTTTTCAAATTTCAAATTTAATTTTACTGAACAATAAAGCATCAATCAAGGCAAAAAAACTAACGACACGTAATTGCAGTCGTTTCTAAGAATATACAAGTTGAATCTTCTGCTACAACCCTTGAATAGGAAAACGAAATTTCATTTTGAATTATAGGAGGGAGAATTCATAGAGAGAAATTAGTGACTTCGCCGACAATTCGAAGCGAGTCAAGCGACCCCAAAAATTAAATCTTATCGGGCGACATTTTGAGTGAATGAAATTCAACGACTCTTTCTACCGAAATCAGGGCGAGTACCGTCAGGCCATATATGTCAAATACACAAGTGTTCCAAACGCATAATTTTTGACAAATAATCACTTTCAACGTGGCATTCGGTTCTGCATCAGCAATATCTTCCTTCCTGTACGTAAGTATCATTTACTGAAGTTGTATTTCGTCCACACATAATTTATTCTGTATTTCGGGGTTGTAAATATTCATGAAATAGTTCTTTGTTTGTTCAAAAACAGTGGGGAGTCATAACTGATCCGGAACTTTCGTATTCATAGATATTTAAATCAGAAATATTACATTGCCAGATTGCCACACACGCTGAGTTTCGCGCAAATCTATAACAAATCTACTAGAGAATTTTAATTTATTTGCTAATGATGACAAAACTTTCTGAGAATCTGCATAATCGTTTCAATAATCTTTCCCTAATGGTCATTAGAGTTAACGCCCAATTTTATGCTACTAATTGCGTAGATTCGAAATGTCGGTCGAATAAACATAAGTTGAAATATGAACTTCGTATCACGCTTGAAATAAGTTAAAATGCGGTTTTCCGTACGCCATGCGTGGTACAATTCAGATTTATACATACGAAATCCCCTATTGTGTCGTTATGTTATTATTTACACGACCTAATTATGGGAGCGACGTTTTTATCTTTTTAAATCCGTAAAACAAACTAGGGTGCAAACTGCGTTTCCTAAATCGCAAATAAACAACGAACGAGTTTTCCGGCTACTTGGATTAAATATTTTGTGTAATTAAGTACGCATTAAAATAAACTTAATCGTAATACCAGGAATGTGATTTCCAGCTGTGTAATACGAATCAGGTGACCAATTCAAAATGTGGATATTCGATAAGATTGTCACTAACTATTATTACACGAGCTAATATGAGCTGCTAAAGATTTAAGTTTTGTACACTTGAAAGTGCCTCTGCTATCTGTGGTTAGCTAATTTTTGCTAAAAAAAACTTAGAGTGGTATATGCAGGTCACATGAAATAAATATACATAAACATTGATATTTTCTTCGCATAAAACAACAATAAACAGATTTAATTGCGATTTTTGATTTATACGAGTCAAAGTATCATAGCGCGATTCATCGAGTATGGCCAGGCGACCAATAATAAATTTTTTGATTAGTACATCTGATAACAAACAGATAAGCTATGTCTCACATTTTGAGCATCTGGTTGGAAAACCACACCCAATTTACTGTCTAAGAATCGTGTACCTGATTTTTATCGCATGTTAAATCTAAGTCTTAAAATATGGTCGCTTTGAAGCAGTTCAATGCTAGGACTCTAATGCTTTTCTGTTGAATATATTAAAATTTCATCTCATGAAATTATAGGTTTTACTCAGACAGTCAATATAATATGTAAGATAAGGGAAGGTCAATATTGGGTCTCTAGGTGATGTGCATTCAATGTCATCAACGATATCTAGAAATTAGCGGATGCGAAACTTGGAAAGACTGTTATTTGTAGAAGTGCACTGAAATTATAGTCCTATGTTTGAAATATCACAAAAATTTATTAGTATTATTCGTATGATTGAAATATAGTTTTGCAAGAATTTTAATCTACCCTATATATATATATATATAAATCCGATTTCACCAATGCGATACCATGAAAGTGGTGCAGAAGGCGAATGTTTCGGCCCTCACTAAAGAAGCGTTTTCTATATGATTCAATCGTCACACAAAACTAAAATACAAATTCAATACTTACATATGAAATAATATGTTTCGTCGGCATGAAAAGTTAGTCCCCAAGGTGAAGGAGATATATCGTTGAAAAGAAATGTATATTTCTTTTCCTCGTCAGGATCGTCACACGTTAACAACTTTTTTTGACCTTTTGTGTTGCAACTCAAATAATTTTCCCTTGTAACTTGATATAATATAAAATAATATAATCCGTTTGGTTGCTTGGGCTGACGTAATGGACATATGATGTCCATTTTCTGCTCAAGTTCCACATATTGAACGTAGTTCGATCCTGCCTTGAATCTGGAATAATTGAAAATATAAATGAATTAAAAATAAATATACCAATGCTTTCGGATTTACATTGCATGAGTATTTTTCCAATACACCATTTCATGATACAGGTAACGTAAAAAGTTCTCGAATCGAACAATATTTCTACACTTTGGGAATAAATTTCTGAAATAGTCACGTTGCCGTTGATATGAGGTATTCGCATTGGTTCTAGAAAAGCTAACGCTTGAGGGTAGTCTATAGTCTCAGTCGACATACGTTGGTTGGTATTACTTGATTAAGGAATACAATAAAATACGCTTTCACAGTCCAATACCAATATGATTTGGCAATTAATAGTACTCACTGAACGTGAACGGGCATTGTTAAAAATAATTAGGCCCGCCTTCGTACAACTTCAAGTATCAAGTACCCTTTCGGGTAATGTACTTATTTAACGTAATAGGACTTGAACTATTGTTACTTTATCAATGAAAGTGACTCAGTGGGATTTTCTGCAATTAATTAGGATTTCAAGCAACCTTATTCTATGCATATACGAATGAACGTCATTGCCGGATGGTATTTAGTTTCTTCATAATTCTTATAGTGCATTCTTAATTTTGCTACGACTATTACAAAAATGCTACTTTCGGACGTAATTCATTTCAAAATTTTGAACAATGAAAGAATAAAAATATCTTTCACTAAATTGAAAATTTAAATGAATTGGGTTGGGATTTCTGTTGAGAAACATCGGAAAGACAACTTTGAGACGCGATTTATCTATGGCTGTGGTCGATAAAGAAATATCCAACCCGGCAGACAAACAGTAATTGTTATTTGACTACCCGATCAAATTGTATTCAGACCGTGAAAATCGGGTCTCTCCGCCATTATCATTTTGCTTTGTTTTTATCGTTGCTTTGTGCGCAATTAATGATCGTATAAATTTTATTTGGCATTTCCTTGAATCACTAATCCGCAAATAGAGCATTTCGTCCTTCGTGCCATCAGGTGCAGTGGGCGGTATTATTATTCAGAATGATAATGAAAAGTTTCTCAAGTACTTCGTATTGTTTTAATTAATATTAAGGAGTGGAAAACAAACAGTAGTAAAGTAGCTCAATTAATATTTATTAAAAATGTTCTAATATTTCCGGATGTACGTATCATATTTCGAATTTTTTGAACGTCGCTTAAATTAAAAAGATAATATAAAGTCAATCCGTCTATTTCGATATTGGATATCGGTTTTTACTGTCATATATGTGTGCACCTGTCGTAAACAATAATATTGTCCGCCAATCTTTTCCCCACAAATCCCTTTATTTTGACGTAATGAAGGAATGAAGTTTACGTTTATTTTAAACACAATACATGTTTGCCGAGCAGTAAATATTTTTAGATAAGGTAAAATATTATCCCTTAGTTCACAATGATCTTCGAGATAGAAGACCGAAAACAGTTTTGAGACGTTTTTTGACGTAGCACAAAATTGCTACATCTCTTTGTGGTTACAAACAAATCACGAATGGGACTCTTCGCCAGATTTGCCAATTATGCGGACATGCTATATTCCACTAGGCTGCTGAATAATTTACGACATAAAACGAAGCAAGTACAAAATAGAATTCGATAAATAGGTGGAGCCACAATCCCACAAGTACAATGTGCTACAACATTGCGACGTTCCCGCGATAACATATGTAACCTTATACTCGAATGTCAATAAAACATCAATACTAGATTATGTTTCAGGTTTACCTGTGAACTTAACGCATAAAATCAATGCTTATTGAAATAATTCTCAGATTTGAAAGTTCACCCAGTGTCGAATATAGATTTCAATTTGGTGAAACCTCTAACTTCGGTTTAGAGCTTCATTTCAGGTTTTTCACATTCGTGCCGTCTTGTGGGATACTGTTCATTAATTATATATTCAAATAAAAACTGTGGGACAACACAACGCTTCTGAATGTGTTCAGGGCTGCGGATTATTTACTGAGATACACGTAACACCGATACGGAATAAGATGTTTCCGGAAGGTTTACAGGAGCCACGTTAGGTGTTAAGTGACGACGATAAGCCTGTAAACTGGGTAATGGACCCGAATTCCACTTAAACCGGTGTTTGCAGAAATTGGAAAGGGCACTGTATTCTAGTTCAGGACAAATGCCACTCAGGAATCTTATTTTATCTATTACAATGAAATGAAAAGTTTCGGAACGTACATGGTTTGATATCACGAATTCTTGACAACTCTAATGATAGTTTTAATATACGTTATGAATACATTCTGTTTACTTTGTGTCCAATAAAAATTCGCATTCGATTCGCATGACGATCCCACACTAATTTTAATCGGATTTATACAATGACGTATCCACGTTAAAGTCTTTTCGTCGCATGACTGGTTTCCTTTTAATGAGCTAACAATTTTATTGCACTCGGTCGTAAACGACGAAAAATGGTACCAAGTCTCCAGATAACAGACATGACAAACAGTGTTCATCGAAAAAATGTGTACCTAACGTAGTGAATAAATTAACGATGTTTACGCTGTATCTTTTGTCTTCAGCAATTTTTGACATATACGGACATCGTTTGATAGAGACAACGTTACTCATTAGCCAACGAAACAAATAATAATCTTGTGATATGACTCGAAAGTTATTCAGTAAAATTATGCGACATAGTGGCTTTATAAAGCATATTTATATAGATAATATTACGGAAATACAAGCGGGACACAAAATCCTTAGATTTCGACGACTAGTTATAGTTAGCGGCTCGTCACATCGTGCGCTTTGACAAAAGAATCGAGCGGGTCATGAAACCAAATACACCATCCAGTAAGTGGGAATCATTTTCTGGTTTGGACGTTGATTCAATTTTGTTATTATAGTATTCTGTTTGTTGTTTCCAAAACTGTTACATTACACCGCCGAATGACATCGCTAAAACAAAAGCCTTTGACACAAAAGAAACTCGCTAAAACTCAAATCAAACATCCCATGTAACAGGCGATTTCGTGTTAACGACTTGTAAAACGTGGATTACAACAAATAGAGGGTTGTAATCTACAAAAGTTTCTATATTTTCTACAGATGACTTGGAATGATGTATTCACTGATTTGTTACATATTCACGACTTCTAATAACGGTAACGAGCACCCTATTTTGGAACATTTTAATTTCAAGTTTTGGAACATTTTAGGCTTCTAAAAAGTAGGATAAACCATTTTTTATGTTCTGTATTATATTTTTATATTTCTGAATTTCTATGAAACTAATAATATGATAATGTAAAAATACTTACATAGGGTCAGATATATTCCAATAAATTGCTGGTATGGATTTCACGTCAGATGCGGCGTCTACTGTAGCGAATTCCACGCCACAGGCCAAGAGCACGAACGACGTAGCGACCACCAATACTTCCAACATTTTTGACCTAGTTGGTCGCATAATCAAAATATGCATAATATTCCTATTTCCTTGCATATATTGTTCCTGTATTCATAAATTGATATTCTTATACAAATGTTTCTTGAACACTCTAAAAATATAAATACTGTACAGACACTGTGCGACACAACTGCGTTCACTGAAACAGAACAATCCTATTGACAAATCCCACGCAACGGAGAAAGGAATACGACAGCTCGTGTTCGGTCGACTGGTTTTAGTCGATTGTGAAAAAGGCGAAAGCGCGAGGCGTTGGTGAAAGCAAGATAAACCCTGCAATCTCTCGCCGGCACGCGAACCAACAATCGGAGTGACAGAGGCAATTATGCTGGCACTTTATCTCGAGATAGTATAAAACGGGCCTCCAGGCTTGAGTTAAATTATCAAGATATGCATTTTGAATTTATCCATTGTTGATATTGACTAGATTGCATCTATTCAAGGTAATTTTCCATATCTGAGAGAAACGTGATACAGACCGAGCGACATTTGAGATCCCGGACCAAGAGAAGATAGCTGCACAAGTGGATCATTTTTCGTAGTGACGTAGATGGAATAACAACTTTTTGAGCATTTACTCTTTGGTTTAAAATAAATGAACCCGGAATAAAAGAAAGAAATGGTGTTTTCAAAACTAAAACTTAATTGAAAATAGAAATTAGTGCGCTATAACCTGCCGCTAATACGATAATACAACTAATGGTCACGGTTATGCCAAGTCGCTTGGAAACCTTTTAGAATATTTAAAATTCCACTGATCCTTTACTGGAAATTGGATACTCGTGGCGTTTATCCATTTGGGACAAAACGTTTTAACCCTCGTTTCATGCGACTGGTTTTCTACAGACAATCAAACCCCCGACTCTTTCAATTTTGATATAAAAGAGAACTTGTACATATCGTTAAGGTAATGTCGTTTGTAATTTTCAGTAATCGCATATCGAGGGTTTTTAATGAATCTAGCCATTGAATAATAATTCGGATCGCTTTTGCTTGTGTAGTTTTCCATTCGTAATGGCTAAGCGAACGAAAATAAAACGCCCCCAATCCTAATCTTGTATTTCAGTTCTATGGTACAAGCTTCGCGCCAAAGGTAATTTAATATTCATGTATACATAATGTAACTTCAGCATAGAAGGTTCAAAAACGCGCCATCATAACGATACCAAATTGAGTTGTGAACGACCGACCACCCCACCGATGCCGGCAGACACCTCAGAAAATGTCTGTTTTGCGGGTCATTGAATAAGCATTGGTGTGCAAAGGGAGTGTTGTGCGCTAAATATGCTTGACGAACTGAAGCTAAAACCTGCACCTGTACATTGTTTAAATCTACTACGCAAATGTTTCTTTCTCTATTTCCAAAATTATGGTTCATGTGCTGGAATAAAAAAGTGTATGGGGTTCTACTTGAACAAACTTTCCCGTGTATTTGTTTTGTATTTTAAGGCAAAATAAAAACTGAAATTGAACAGTAAATAATTGAACAGTAAATAATTAAATCCTACTGAGATAATAGGAAGGGATTTTAAGATAGTCGTTATATCTTTGGTGTTGCAGCCGTTCTTACAACAGAATCACAAAATTACAAAAAGTGCTTTCCACTATTAATAGTCAGTAACTGTGTGTTGATTGTCACTATCAAATCATTTAAATACGCTGATATCACATGGCAGTTGTAGGCTATAGACAAGATCACAATATATGAATGTACCTAGTCTACTGTGTTTCCAAGAAACGGAATTGTTTCGGCGTGATTGATAGCGTACATATTTTATATATATACATATTTCAAAAAGTCAGTTCTCTTTGAATACCCATTAATAATTATTCAACAAAGATTCGAAAATTGTATCTATTTATATTCACGACCACTGAAGAAAGGTCACAGCGGGGTTTCAGTTATAGACGGCATTGCAAGCTTCTATAAAATACAGTTCATCATAATAGTGAGTGCTAATAGATTTGTCTGTCATTATATCGCGAACTTTATGACCTAAAATTCCCACATGCATTCGGGTTTTAATTCACTATAGGAAATGGGCCATAGATCAGTTGAATCGTATCCCAAGGGCTTATGGACGTTGTTCATTATTTTCCGTTTACCGTTTATATTAGACGGTATTTTGTCATCTTCAAAATAATCGAGATTCCTATTGCTACTCTAAGATATGGCGATTAATCACGATGTTACATTATAGACCTGTTTACTACATTTATTCACGATTTTAGCTTTTTCAGTCACTTACAAAATCGACCGCCTCACATATGCAAATTAGATTCGAGTCATTTGAATAACGATGAGCTACCACAAAAACACCATGTTGAATTACAGCTAAAATTCGATTACATAAAACTCATTTAAACTCGTCGAAATTTGGTACAATAATAGGAAGCTCGATCACACTGGCAAATAAATACAAGGTTTTAAAGCTTTTAATGAAATGAAAAAATTGTAAGATAAAATGAAATATCACTGTAATTCGAACTTGATTTCACAAGTTATTACGCGATAGTTCTTCTCCCAGATATCAGTTGTCCTCTCCCTCGTTCAACTAACGTTTAATATGAATTATAGTACTATACATCAGGATAAATGTATTACTATCCGAACTTAATTTGCTGTAAGCATACCGAAGAATTGAATTTTCTATCAAAAATGAAATTTGAGCTTATTTTATTGCAACTTTTGGCAACAACCATAAGTAAGATCTGATTATCTGTTGATGTGGGAATTTCATGAAATGCATAAAAAATGAGACAGATTTGTCTGTAGATTCACTTGGTTTATTATTGAAGGGACAAGTTATATGAATATACCAAAAAGGGACCTTCAAGAATAAATCTTTCCTATTTACGCTTCACGAAACACTGGGTATCATTACCTGTGACGTCATAAATCCTTGCGCGACTCTTTGAAACCACATTTCAAGCAAATGATGAAGGAAAATGACAAGCCTATTTGCGAATTGTAGCGTTTAGCGTGATAAATAATATAAATGTGTGTATTTATAGTTGAAAATATTCTCGGGTGTCTTCGAGGTGAAAATCAAAACCGTTTGCCCTTCTTTTGTCGTTTCGATCACAATTGGTGAGTTGGGGTGAAATTGAAAATGGCAACCAAGCGCATCCTGTTTGCATTGCAACTAAATGTGAATTTCTATTCTCACATACAATTAGACTCCATAAAAAACAATCAATATTTGATTATTTTTAGTGTCTTTCCGCTCGGCTTTTCGTATCGGGAGGCGCCTCAATTCGCATTTCAAGCAATATTCACTCGCGTACTTGTCCAAAAACATTGAATCAACATTTCGCTAGTTCTTGGTATTTTAGGCGGTGATAGTAACTTTATCAGTAATATTACCGCCCATTTACGGAAGCTTGAGACACTACTTCAAAAAACTCTATTTAATTAAAAACCAACGCATTCAAAGAAATTTCCAGCCTCGTTTAAATGAAATCTTCACTTGGGGATTTGATTGGTGTACCAACATATTTTATGTATAGCTTCCAGTATTCTTTCAACAGTGTATATAAGAACTGTGTAAGGATGTTCGCTTTTGACTGTGTATTTGTCATCTTGTCTGGAACATAAACTACCATGAATGATATCAACAGTTAAAAGCATTCGGAAGACTCAAGTTTCACTCAAATATTCACGTCGTGAGGATTCGATGGCATTGGAAACCACTGTGCTGATTTCAATTCAGTTTGACACCTGCTGAATCAGGAATCGCGTTTATAGTTGTTACGTTTTTAAAATTTCCGTAACGAGATTACTTTTGATTTATTCTGCCATAACCAAACAACAAAACATTGTCGGCACAACAGATGTTGTATGATAGACATTCCATTAATTACCGTGCATAATGAATTTTCACGGTCGCAGGTGCTTGCCCGAAGTTAGACTTTTTTGCTGAGTAATGTGTGGATACCATGACACTGCTTTATGCGTTTCTTTCATCATGTTAGAATTCGTGAGCTCAAATCTGATCTAACCCACCAATGTAAAACTAGTGAGTGGCTCAGTTATATATATTTGATCTACATTCTATAATATATGTGTAGAACACCAACAAAAAAACCTTCGCTTACCTTACCATCGCAATATTTTTGATACTTAGTTTGAATTTCTAGCAGATCGTATTGTATTTTACAGGGCTCATTTTTGATTACTGCAACTAAACTGAAACGCTCCATGGAAGACAATAATGACCTTTGTTTAATTCGAAAACACAACTAAAACCTAACAAATGGATAATAAAAAAGTACAAAATCTAGTTAATGCTCACAGCTATTTCTGGAATTTTGTGTTAGAGGAAAAAACGTCTCAGCGACTGCACAAATTTTATTTATTGCTGATTGGTCATTGGTACGGAATTGAATGAGGAAGTCGGTGCTTATGGAACCCACCATTGTCTTCAAGACTAGGAGAATATTCTGATTTACCTGATATAAGTTGTCTTTAGACTCGTATCTGTTCGTGCATGTCAATTTGACAAATTTTGTGAAATGGACGTTCGAAACCAAAATAATTAAAAAATAGCAATAGTAATTTTATTATATAAAACATTTCAGAATATTATACTCTTACAGCTTTACGCGACGAAATTGTTTGTTTCCAAAGTATCTCGATCTTCAGAAGGGCATGATACAGAAGTTCATCACTATGATGGTGTTGTATTATCAACTTGGTTTATGACAACAAACAATGTTGCTATCAAGATTTACGTTAGATAAGAATGGATTAACGAAATCTTACTAAGCTACAATTTTAAATCAGAGAATGAAGATCAAATGAATATTGCGATGACAGACGAAATAAAGTCCCGTTAGGTTTGGTAGCAGAAGTGTTTTACACCGAACATCCATTTATTGGTTCAACGCTTTTTGAAAAAACAACACTAATAACCTTTCACGAGGATTGATTTTTCGTTCTATACAAAAAGTCTGATACACTGAAATTTTTAAATTTACAGATAAGTTCACATATCTATCGTTCAACAGTATTTTGTGAGTTGTTTGACATATCATCATATTAAATTAATACATGTTGTTGCTTTTGTATTTAGTTTGTCAGTATTTTCGTATTTAATTTCCATCACCTTGAAGGACCAAATATGTGTGTGTAGCAGTTTTCTAAATACATAACGTAATCTAGCTTGTTTGAGATCCTTTATAAAGTAGGTCTCTCTTGTCTATAGAAGCTCGATTTTAATTTATTGGTTAATTAAAATTAGTGCAAATAATGGATTACATTTTTGAAATTGCTGTAAATTGTCAAATAATCAGTGTTGACAAAAATATTCGATTTTGAAATATATATTCAGGGAACATATCTTCCAAAACGGGAAGCCCTAGAAAAAATAGCTGTAGTATAAACTTGTAATATTGGAGTATTGGCGCGAACTATTAGATAAACAGCAATCAATACAATAAGTAGTTGGAATACAATGAATTGTGATAATCTATAATGACAACATGTTAACCATGGCGGAAGGTATAACAGTGGTGTAGCCTACTTGGAGTTTAATTTTCGTGTTGTTTCGATTGCCTAAATTTTTCGAGGTAGTGAATGAATCGTATTTTTGTCACGGCTTTAATAAAGGATTGAAAGAAAACGACGTAATTTATTGTTTTCATATCTTAGATGTGCCCTGCAAATATATTTCATTTGTGTAGACTGTTTTGATACAATACCACTTCCTGGAAAATTTAATCGTGGTTGTATTTTTTAAAGGTGCACTTGTGTAATTTTTGATCTGATTAAAATACGAAGAACGTTAACGTTTGCAGATAGGCATCTGATTATTTTTGGATGTCTGAATGCCACTATTAAAGTTTTTCACGCCTGATGACGCGCTTATCATTGTTATTATTCACTGATAATATCTATCTTAATTTAGCATTGTTTGAGTCTGGGATTGAACACTCATTCAGTCACATTACAACTCGTATCATTTAGTTTACTGTTCCTTGCATAGAACGTGTGATAACACTTATATTTGAATCAGTTAGTAACTGAGAACATTGTGAAAATAGTGGATAGTAAGTAATCCGTTGGAGTAATCGTCAAGTTATGCGAAAACATGGCGCGAATTTATTCAGATTTTGAGCAAGCCACTAGAAGACGCTAGTGATACGTATATAGCTTGGTTATCGTCATTCGCGAAACATTGACATTATCTGTGGCCCGCGTCACATTGGAGCGAGGGTAAACAAAAAATAGCATTTGATGTTGTTTCGTCATAAAAATAACCAGAAAAATCTTCTGACATATTGTTACATCACCAATATCACTGAATTGATTAGTGTTATGGCTAGCTGAGGCAACTAATGAATAATGTGCTTGGCTAGTCCAAATTGTTAACTGGGTTTCTATTACTTGGTCGGGAATATATGCTAATAAAATAAGCTTCACAGAAAACTAAAAATCGAATGAGAAATCTATTAACCTAGGTTGAATATGCCTGATAACTAAATATTAATGTAATGACCGAACAATATAATTCCTGCCGGGTGTTTTTTTGCAACCAGCCCAAACAGTATTACAAAAAAAATGCTGCCTATATGTCAGAAAATTTAGTAATTCTTCTCCTGTATCTCAAATTTGGTTAAATTCGATAATCAATCAATCTGCAGTTATTTGTAGGATATTTTGTGAGTTTGAAAGGAAAGTTGACCAATTCAAACAAATTTTTGACTGGATATGGGAAGGAAAATACCACAATTAATATGTCTGCAAGTTGTGTCGGTGATAATCTATTTCTCCTTATGGCACTTTCTCCGTTACGAAGAGTTTGAAATCGTACACTAAATGTAGATATTGTAAGATTTCTGCACGTTTTGGTGAGTTTTTTGCATGTTTTAGCTTCATAAATGACAAATAATGATCAATGTGTTTGGACAATAAATGTGTGTGTTTTGTATTGCACTGTTAACCTATTCTTGGCACTATTGTGGCCCACGAACAATACAAAAATGCTAGTGTGGCCCGCTAGGGCGACAACCTTGGGCCACCCTGCCCTAGTGCATTACTCCAGCAAGGCGAGTGACCGTCCTTGCATGGCGTAATAGAGAGATTCCCAGCATTTGTAGACATTGTCAATATGTTTCGTTAATACTTCTCAGCAATTCAGTATTGACCGTTCGCGACGATTATCATACTCAATTTTAATAACGTTAATATAGTCGTGGAAGGAATTCGTAGAAAAAATATTCAAATCAAATACAACCATATTAGATTACAGGATCGCACCAACACTTCCTACCCGCGTCAGTAAAGAAGAGACATTACTTATTATATATTTCAATTTTGATTCGCTGTATAGTCAGATCGCCGGATATCCTCCCTTGTAAAGGATACTGGAGTCTGGTTATATAATTATACAGGAATAAATGTAAAAAGACGAAAAGGCTTTCTTATACCTCTTATATATTTGACAGGACATGAACATAAAAAACGTTAATGTAAAAATAGCAATAATTTGAAGATAATTTTCATTTTTTGGGGGGAAAATCCATATTTTTTGAACTAAGGTGATAAGTCAAAGCACTCAAATCCGCTACTTCGTCGTGGAATATATATAATTTTCAATTCCAAAAATAAATGTACCATGCTCGAAACCACTAGCACCAACTGGTAAAATAAGCTGATCAATCCAGAGCAGACGTCCCAACTATTCAACATTCGTATTTTAGAATAGTCATTAAAGGACAACATATCTCAACAATTTTTCTTATATTCGATTCACTTAATCCCATTTTCCATATATGGGTGGTGGAGGGTTTAATGATCCCATCAAATGGAACGGTAAAATATTGACTTCTTGCTACTCGAGTAAGTTTATTTAAAAATCGAAGCTTCAGTGGAAGTCCTAACTTTTCAAATATGTTTGTTGCTGTCCTTTCTGTATTACTTACAACATCTTCAAAACGCACAATGTGCAAAGGCCATTGCCCTTCTGAAACTTCGTTCGTCAAAGCGTTTGCGATGCTTATCGTCCAAATAACAGCAAGTTGTTCCACAGTGCTTAGTTCTGTTTTCCTTAAAGCCTCAAATTGCTTGAAATGCCAATAAAACTCAGGATAATCCAGGCCATCAACATCACACGATTTTCCGATGCTTCGATAAGATTTAGCAAAAGAATTAAGAAGTCTTCTTCGCCTGAGCAATGATATATAACGTATTATATAAAATTCAGAAAAAGCAAGAGAATTTATATAGCAACCTTTTAAATTAACATGCAGTTAATTTTGGATGTGATTTCCCAGCTCCAGTGATAGCACGTCTTTTCACGTTATGTGGCAGTTGTTTTGAGTTCCACGCGAAAGTGGAAGCTATAGCATGTCAATCCATAGTAAAATAAATTGGGCACATTATGCTAAACCAATTAGATTTCGAGCACTTTAAAGTAGTTTGATAAACGAGTGAGTATCTGTTTATTTAGACTTTTGTAATAAGCGAAATCCATAAATATCACACGATGGCAAGTTATACGTTTTTTTACTTAAGTTGTTTTCCACCAAGAGAAGAAAATACGGAAGCCAAATTAATTGAAAATAGCGGTTACATACCTATTTGTGTTGCGATCGTAAAGAATTATGCGAACCCACGATCTTGGATCACGAACTACTAGAATTGGCTGAAAATTGCCTTTTCCAACAACCTGGCGAATCCAAGGTAATTTTGTTATCCAAAATCCAGAATTATCGTTCAGTACAACTGTAGGGTTGAAATTCTGACGTAGCTTCCGCCTGATTTCAAGAATATATTTTGACTCTAAGTTTTGATTGAAATGAAGTAATGGCTTCGTTATTAGCGATGTAAACCACCCCATGGTGATAAGATTGAACTGAAAAAAAATAAAATAAGAGTGACATTGCTTCATGTACAAATGCTTCAAAAAAAAAGGAACCATTGTCACAAGTCAACATACACAAAATTATTTAATATTTGGTTACCTCGCAAGAAGATTCAAAGCAGGGGTCGGCAACCTACGGCCCGCGGAGTAGCATAATCCGGCCCGCGAAGCTTCACTGAAGTATAGTAACAAAACAGCTGTTTTGGGATTAAATTTTTTAAGTGACAGAAATTATTGTAGACTAAATTATATTATAATCCAACAAGTATAAAATTCACAATTATTCGTTTAATGAGCGTTTGTTTAATGGCGCCGCAAATATTCAAATGAATTTTGAGATGCAATGCAATGAGGAAATAAATCTATATTCTATTCGAGAGATGTATCGCTGCTTGATTTTCATTATAAGAAGTGTCATTCGTTATATGTGCGGCCCGCCAATGACTTGCAACCTTAATTTTGGCCCGCGAGCGACAAAAGGTTGCCGACTCCTGATTTAAAGTAATGCCCGGAAAAAGTCGAAGCGTGAAAACGTAAAAGCAATACCAGAATATTATCAAACCTGTTAAACTGAAACTATCATTACATTTTTATTTGCACCTAATGGATAAACTCATAACATAGATAAGAATATTTTAATATATCTAAGAAATACGAGAATATCTGAATTGACATTCAATGAATAAATAATAGGTAAATCACACTGTGTCTCTAATAAAAGTTGTCACCGCGTACAAATTAAGTAATACTGAATAAGAAATGGGGCAAACGGGACAATATTAACAAATTTGTATTACGGTATTTTCATCTGCAAAAATTACCTGATTTTGCAAAGAATTCCACAAGCACAAATTTATCTTGCTTGTGTCGTGAACCTTTACAGGAATTGTTATGTTGTCAGGAGAATTTATAAAAAGGAATTCGTTTTCGTCTTCAAATAAATATTCCATCAACTCGCTGCCTGATCCAGGTAATGCAGTAACGAACACAAAAGGTGATGAAGGTATTCTCATCTCTCCTGCAGTCGAGTTTACACTTTCCCTATGAAAAATATAAAATTAGTTTAGGCAGACCAAAAATATCCGCAACCGCAATTATAAGGTTTAGTTATGGATTTGAAATACATTTGTAAATGTGCTAACCTGACTTAAAAAGGAAGCCCGCGGAGCAAATTTTGTATATACCATTTTAAACATGGAAAAGGCAGATGTAGCTGAAGTCGTTGATTTGATGAGGCTCATTTTACATTTGAACAAGTCATGAGGGCTTTTACAGGACAGAGGGATGTTACAGAATTATTCATTTTTAGAAACATCTCCGCCCAAAACGTTGAATTCATGTTCACTGATAATCATGTACATAAAAAAAGTAATATTGAATATCGGCTTAGTATTTACAAATTAAATAGAAAACTTTCGTCACCTTTTCAAATTCCTCGCTTGCCATCTATCGAAACATGTATTGGTGCCGTTTTTATCAATGCATAACAAATTGATAATGGTCAATAGAACAAGAGAAAACACACCGAATTTCGATTGTCGACTAGTTTTCCTAGAAAACAAGAAGAAAGTCTCTTGCATTTTGTGTTGCGCGAGTGGTACGAGTTACCCAAATGTTAATATTTTAAAACACCATTTATGCTATGCTTTCTCGATTCGATAAGAAATATGTATTTCTCGACTTACCTAACACTCCGCCTGATGAGATTCTTTTTATATGCAAGAAATAGGACAAACAATACAAATAACGCGGCAGTAAGTGGCAATACTATAGTTTTAGCCTCAACAGAAAATAAGGGCCAGTAATGCAACGAATTAATTGATTTCGAATTTGCAGATTTAGGAAAACTTGAGCAAGTTTTTGACGTTGACAGCGTAAATTTCGAAACATCTGGTAATTGTGATGTAGTCATCTGAGATGTAACGTAGTGATGAAGAGGCTGAATGTCGTTTTCTGCCTCTGAATTATCATGTATCATTCGGCTATCGAGGCCTAAGTGTTGTTCATTCGATCCTATTTTGACAAAAGCATATCCCCCAAATCCAGTAATGCTTTTTCTGTCTTTGATTGGAGATGCCTTCTTTGTTTTCGGTTTTACAGCAGTTGAAATGTTGATCACGTGCTCAATATTGTTAATACTAACACTGAGCATAACCCCTAATGGTCCACTCTTGGGCAAAATAGAGGCTGATTTAATGTTATAGTTGGGACCAGTAAAAATATGAACAACATTTGTAGTGCCTTCGGACAATGAGTAGGTAACATTGATAAAGTTCGTAGGACCTTCCCGCAGACCTATCGGCCGAACACCGCTGTGTAATGTGGTATTGATGTTTCTATCATTCATTTTTACGGAAAACATGGAGTAAGAACCTTCCGGATAATGAACTTGAGCTCCTGTTGAAATTGTACAAAAATTTAAGTTCAGTATTCTGCGATGATATTTTGCACTTTAGGTTGGCTGAGCTAGAATATCTATCTTTATACTTAGAAACATGAACGAAGCTATGGAATATCAAAGAATTATGGGAAGAAAGCCACCAAGTTCATTAGTACCATTCGAGAGTGTTGTATAAAAATAGCCGACCAATGTAACGTTCTTAATCAGTGGTTTTCACTCGGTGGTAGCAAAACATTGAGGTTCCGTGAGTTTTGGGAGTTCAGTAGGGCTCGGCGAGTGAACTGTGTCAATCACCCAATACCTATTAGTGTGAAACAGTATTTCCTGCTTTAAAAATCAGTAGTTCCACAAGGGTGGTCGAAACCCATTCCCGCGGCCACATGTGGCCCGCAGCGTCATTATCTGTGGCCCGCGTCGCCTTTGCGGAAGGGTAATCGAAAAATCGCATTTGGTGTAGTTTCGTCATATAAATAACAGAAAAACTTTTCGACATCTTGTTACATCACTAATGTCACTGAATTAACTAGTGTCACGGCTAGCTGAAGCAACTAGCAAAGTTGAATTGGGTGTGATTGGATAATCCAAATTGTTCAATGGCTTTCTATCTATTTGGTTGAAAATTCAACAGTTCAACAGTTCAACATATTCCAACAGTTATAATAACCAAATATGATAACTAAATATTAATGTTATGGCCTAAGAATATAATTCGTTCCGGTGATGTTTTGCAACCAGCCTAAACAGTATTACAAAATGCTTCTAATATTTCAGAAAAATTAGTAATTACTCTCCTGTACCTATGTAAAATATGATAATCAATCATTCAGCAGTTATGGCAAATATAATCTAAAACGGCATTTTGCTATCATGTGAGCAATGAGCATTTCCAAACTTTGAGGGATTTTGCCTCGAGAACTCCGATGTTCGAGAGCATTTATATTTGCGGGAGCACTTTCTCCGTAATGAAGTGTTTGAAATCTTACACTAAATGTAGGAATATATAGCTAAACTTTTGCATGTTTTAGTGATTTTTCTGGCGTATTTTGTATGATTTAGCTTGATAAATGAAAAACAATGATCAATCGTTTGGACAATAAAAGTGTTTGTTGTTTACATATTTCTGACGCTATTGTGGCCCGCGAACAATGCAAAAATAATTTCGTGGCCCGCGAAGGCGACAACCTTGAACCACCCTGGTCTAACTCTAACTAGTTACCTTCGTATCCAAGATGATGATATTCTTTAAATTTGTGCAGCATATTGTGAAATAGAGAACTTGCTCTTTTCGTACCGCTTCCTGGGTCGAGCTTTATACTATCAACCACAATTAGAACTTCTGGATTTAGTAACAGAATTCCACGATATACACTGCTCAACTGGAGAGATTTTCTGTGGGACAATAAAGTTAAATGATCCATGTTAAATGATCAAAAATTTTGAACAAAACGCAGCAGAAAATCTTGAATAATTCATGAATTAGGCGTTTCGGTTATATCCTAGTAAAATCGTAAAAGAACATCGACGTTTTATAAATATCCTGAGAATGTCATCGAATAGTTTCCGGTTAGGAAACCGATGGCATTCAATTTTCAATGACATGTGGGCTTGGGAATATAGTGCAATAATTGGATACATTCTGATTTTCTTGAAAAAATATATACGGGCGGTTCTGAAATGCTCGCTTGTATACTACAAAAGGTTGGTAAAAATGTGGATTTGTTCTGGGTGGTAATTTTTAATTCGTTATTAGTATTAGATTTGAGTTTTGGATGTGGAAAATATTGCTAAAGTCAATTTCTGAACTATTCACATAATCATCTAATTACTCAAATCAATGGAAAAGTGACTTACGAATAAATATTCGCAGCTTCTCCTGCAATGAAAACTATTCCATTTGATGTAACAGCCGTTAGAATATCACCTCTCATGCCTTCTTCTAAAATTTGATATTTGAGCCATTTATTGCACTCGCCTATTTGGCCTTCCCATGGTTGATTGCACTGGGAAGTGTTGGAAGGAGAAAAAACCACAACATTGTCTAAATATGAATATTTTGGTCCATACAAAGATTCTGTAATAAAATATCTCCCGTTCGGTGCAAAAACAAATGAATTTTGATCGGGGTGTTCATGGCCCGGATTAAAGTTTTTCCATCGCGCTGCGTTTATTTGATCGGGATAACGGTTATTAAACATGATGTCAACTGCCGACTCTCCGTTCGGAACTCCCGATTTGAAGGATAAAAATGTATTTCCTTTCTTCATATCTTCGCCCCCACCGTACGTGACGACACCCCAGTCTGAATAAAAATGAATATTTTTAACGTTACATTCAGCTGGCTGTCGCGGTCTCACAGATGCATTGTAAAATATGTATTCAGTGTGCATCATGCTCCAAATTTGTGCATTAGAAGGTGCGAGTGGCTTATTTTTTGGTCTCGCACGTCTGATTTTGGCCGCTAACCAGTTGCCGTACCCGTTTTTCATGACGTAATTGTCTAAGAAAGTAAGTTGACTTCCTGGACCAAAAAACCAATTGTGATTTGCATCCGCAATTCCAACCGATCTCTGAAATCCTGGTAAGATAGTTTTGTAATAAAACCAAAAATGTTGTTTGAGCCAAGGATTACTTGTGTGATCGGTTTTGAGATGTTTCTTTGCAAGATACACATACTGTGTCAGTCCGCGCGAAGTATAGCTGCCATATGATACTCCCTCATCAAGAGATCCATCGGTGACATGCGATAGCATGAGCATTGCCGCGTCTAAATGCTTTTTCGATTCGGCAATCCAAGGCTCAGCAACATCAGGCTCGTGGACTGAAACCAATAATGATCCAATTAAGAGAGCAACTATGTTGCTAGCGGCATGGTTATGGGTGTACTGCTTGGTCCAACCAAATTTAGATTTTAGCGTCATTTCGTAAAGATGGTGACTTGTACTGTTGATTTTTTTATAATAAAGCTGCCGTTTCGCCAAATCAAACCTATTATAAAGGAGATCGAATGCAGTTGAAAAACCAATGAGTGAATGACCGACCGGCACCTGATCCATAAGGTAGCTTTCTGCTACGTACCAATCCGGATAACTCGCCATCCTATCCATATAAGTTGTAATATACCTGAACGCAGCTTTATCGGTGGGATACAAAAAGACATACATGGCAAATCCACATAAATTATTTCCATACACTTCGTTCCAACGGGATGCAAACACAGAGTGATTCTTAGGCGGTAAATATCGGTCTGGTTTTGTAGTAAAAGCTATTCCTGCTTCTCGAATATCCCTTGCTATTTTTTCGTGTGTTGTGGTCGCTCTTCCACTAATCTCGTGAATTTGCGACGAACTGAAGTAAAGCATCGGGTGAAAACCGTCAGAGAAATCAATACGTCGTCCATATCCAAACAATGCATAACTACCTGCGATCAGCACCAGTCCAACCATAATACTGATTCCCATGGCACCTGTAATGAATACCCAACGACCTCCGAACAAATTGACTAATTAATCTATTCCGGATCTACATTTTTATATCTGTAAATTTGTATGACGAGAACAGATTATCTTATGCTACTTCAATAAAGGCATGTTCAACAGATAGGCCATTGAAAATTCAAACCGTTGGGTGACAACAATAAAATTGATCAACATACTTTGCGTAAATAAATTACCCACTTATCCCACATATTATTCCAATCACTATATATATATATATATATATATATATATATATATATACTCAATTTATCGTGACGTTGTAAAACCTGAAATACGCCAACTGGTCTAACTAAACCACGTTGATGTTTTGTGAATTCCTCTACTGTTGCTAACCTAAAACACACTTTTATTAAAGATGTGCTAAATACCAAACAGCTCCTTATATATTCGTCAAAAGACATGTCAAATCATTACGTAACGTAGCCTAAATGCTTCCGTATGAATGGACTACGTAGATATTTCCATGCTTTACCGTAAGAACTGTCTGTTTCGCGTTACGGCGTGTGATAGCGAGAACATCAGGAAACCGACGAGTATATTCATTTGGGAGTTTCACAGTTCTAACAAACTAGGCTCCTGCTTTGGTTTTAAGCTTGGCTAGTCACGCGTTCCGTGCAGCGTGGAAACACGAATTCAATTTTGATTTGTGCCTGTCGTTGTCTGCTGTGATTTCTGGTCAATTATGGAAAGGCAAGGTTATACATACCAATGTGACTATATTATTACATTTAAATACACACACTTCAACTACGTGAAATGATTTTTATTTGTCATATTTCACATTTTTGGCTTATTCTTGCATATCCCTGATCTGAATTGGACAACTCTTTTTGTCATTTCTCTGCTTCCCATATAAAAAGATGCCTCTCATGACAAGTAAACCTCTCAATTAGTCTTTCACCACTGATTTAGTTGTCATGGAACGTAAACAAACCGTTCAGAACACATCAATGACAGCCTAGAATGACCCAATCAGATAACATTAATTGATTACCTCGCTGTGAATTTTTCACATGCATTGATGTAGTTACTAATTGAGAACTCACACAGTTTTAGCTAATATATATTGCAAAGCAATCTATTCCTCGCAAACTAGGCGAGTAAACTCGGATGTAAACTCGGTCAACTATGAGCCTTGCTTCTATATATAAGCGCATATATATCAGATTTGAAACCTCTAAACAAGAGTTCAAACAGGTCAAATGGGTACCGCAGATGCCCAGTTTATTCTCAACGTACAGAGCAATAAAATTGATAACGCTATGCCCAATATAAAAAAAACGATAACAGCAAACCAGTAAACTTGATCATAGTTGAACTTGTGACTGAATTACCCATAAACGCTCGATGCGCTCCAAGTATATGAAGGAATATATTTACCTTCAAACTTTCTGAAATTGATTGGGATCATCAATATAAGCGGCAAATGAAATAGACGGTATTTCTATAACGTCCTCTATAAGGTTAGGTACCTGTCGGTCTCTGTGGGTATGATGCGACCAACGTTGAACACAATTCTCAGAGCTATTATAAATTTTCTTTAAATATTTTGTACTGTTGTCGTATAGACGTTGTGTAGCTGATGGTAAAATACTTTCTAAGCGTCCACGTACTATAGCTAGCTACACAATTTACTATACAAGAACGCCATCTTAATTCCCAAAGCAAATTTAACCCTTCGAGTAAACAAGTACGACGCTTAGAAGATGCGGAATAGAGGTTTTCTCAGCTGTTATACAAATACGAGTTGTTTGATATGTAAGTCTCTTCGTTAGGAATTTTTTGCCGTTCTGCAGCACTGATTTTAATGCTTGGCCGAGCGTGAACGCTCACACTTATATACCGCAGATTAACTTATGCATTGGCGTTTCGAGGCTATATATTCGCTAACGCTAGCAGTGATGCATTTGGTTACTGGACGATAGTTGGCCTTCTGTTTTTAACCTTTGCTTAAGCCATTTTATCTCATTGTTTAAAATCTGCAATAAGAAATTATATCGAGTGTTTTCACTTTGAAAGGCTAATATATGACCAGATACGAATCTATGAAATACATTAATGCATAGAAGAAGTTTTTCATACTTATTCCGCGTGAGAGGAAAATCGACATGAGTCAATGATAAGACGATCCACGTCCGTCCGGTTACCACTTCATGTCGGATATGGAAATAATAACCGGTTCTAATGCGCCGACATTGGTACTCCCGTAGTATGTGAACCAAGATGGCGGACACCGGAACGTAGTATGTGTACCAGGTTAGGCCATAATTTCAGGTACAAATACTATGGGAGTCACTTGGCTAACCCCCGAACTCGTAGTAGAACTAAAATAAGAAAAATTGGATTAAAATCATGGCCTGACCCTAACCTGGTACACATACTTCGTTCCGGTGCCCGCCATCTTGGTTCACATACTACGGGAGTAGCATTGATGGCGGGAAAAATCCCAAAGTCCCATCAGTTATTTACCATTCCCCGAGTCGAGCAATTATTGTTCCACAGCTTGCATATTTAACGAGTAAAATAAGGACTGAAGTAAAAATAGTCTATCAAAGTATTCAGGAACGTGTTATAGACATAATTACATTGAAAGTCTTGAAACAAGGTCCAACACAGTTGGGGTGAGGCAACACCAATAATACTCTCTATGCTCAATAATCATTGTATGTTTAATACTGCGCCCGTGAATATATTAAAAATCTTGTTAGTTTTTAGTTACATTTCCCAGTGTAAATTTTTAATTTGTAAAGTAATTATTTGTAAATCGGTCAACATATCATTCGATATGCCACCTATCAGTGTCTACTCTGGTGGTATTAAACGGAGGCGATTTCATGCACCGCTGGGTGATTTGGCTCAAAAAGAATGTAGTTAACTCAAATATGAATTTTGCTGTTTTTTTGTTAACTATTTGGCCCAAATGCAGGTATTTAAATTTAGACTGGATGGATCGATTATGACGACGACTCGTTTAAATGTTCTCACCATGTATCAAATTAGCTCTTCAGTCCCGGCAAAACATCGTTATCGCAAAACTATTATCTCGCTAAAATAAATCTTTTATTTTATTTAATCATGGTATATATTTTCTTCGAATGCTCGATATCTGGTATTGTCAACAGTTGCTTAATGACGTACTCTATGTATTATCATTATTATTTAATAGGCTACATCTCTTATTTGTCTGCTTGGTTAGAAGTGTAGTCTTCTCAGAATTATTCGCGTTTGACCGGTGGTATACTGAAGTTACTGCCATAAGCATTGGGAGGGAAACCACAGATACAGTAAGAGGTACGAATATTGCAATAGTCTCGTTGAAAGTCTCCATCAGAACTCTTTCCACCGCAATGAAAATACTCTGGAATATGAGCATTGGTATGTAATGAGCACACATCAAGGTGACTTTTTCTGCAGGATAGGTAACCTCCGTTAAATATTCCACAAGAGTTACTTCCGAAAATCCACGCAGTCCCATCGTTAACGGATACAAAAATGTGAGCGCTTTCAGCCACTTGTAATGATGTGCAAATAATATAGAAATGCAGCTTGATATAAGTCCAGCAATAGCTAAAAATAAACAGAATTAATTTGTTAAGTTCAGAAAACTCATTGGTTTCAATTGCACCGCACTCGTAATACGAATTTGGCATTTCCTCATTCGCTCGGAGTGCTGTAATTAAAAACTAAAAAAACGAACGTTTTAACAGCGCTCTTAAAATGAAAAACGAAATGCATTTTTTAGTCACTATTTATCGGCCACGACATAAATGCATTTATATACATCATCTATTCCTATGCTATCTTCTTAATACATTAAAACCAACGTACCAAATTATGGACTGATTTACTGTATCCTAATTAAACCAGAAATTACCAATAACAATTACTCCTCAATGGGTGGAATACAATGGTCAATGGAATACTTACGCAAAGAACTAAATAACTTATAACGTCCAAATCTATCTATTAGCAGTCCAGCTGCTAAAGAGAAGAAAACAGCAAGTATGTTTCCTACAATTCTAATTGTTCCTGGAGTGACTCTGGAATATCTGGAAACGTTTTCATTCAGTAACGATGTTGATGAGAACTTTTGTCATTGCAAAATAAGATGTGTCAAGTGACACTATAATTGTTATCAAAACAAAGTTGATATTTCGGTAATGTGATGCAGTTTTCTTCAGGCTTTCGAGAATGTTTTCCATACTCATTACAGCCTTTTTTTGATTTGATGCGTTCAAAATTTTTTCCTGAGATGCACTTGGCGGACTTGGTGGGTGATCCTTGGCATATAAGCAGACAAATATGACGCAAATTAGCAAAAACGATGAAATAATTCCAAAACTTATTGCAAAAACATTTCGAACTTTATCAGAATCAAACTTTTTGTTCAAATTGTCGAGTACGTCATTCAATAGCAAGGGATATAGCAGAGATGATAACATCTGACCAGCATGAATTGCGCTGAATTCGATCGCAATTGTCGTCCCGACTTCATTTTCAGAAAACCAGTTTGCAGCCATATTTACCGAAGTGACAAATGATATTCCTGCTGAAATTCCGATAAAAATTTGTCCCATCAGCACGAAATAGTAAAAGTCGCTATAAAAAGATTTGACACATTTAGGAGTCCCATGTGTATTTTTTTTTCAATGTCCGATTAGCGGGATATTATTGCATTTGCTGGCATATAATTTGACTATTATACAATATCTTTGTGTTTATTCTAGCAACAATATACCGACAACAAATAATATATTTAACATGCCTCAATAAATTTTCCATGGTTCAAATTTAGAAAATCAATTATGGATGATCGATAATTTAAAATAAATATACAACAAAGTATTGTGGTTTTATCACTGTGTTGTTCAAGATCATACATTCTATTTTTGACATAGGTTTTATATAAATCTCATATTAGCTTTCATACTTATGTAGAAATCCTATTGTCACCGTTATTGCGCCAAAGAGTCCACCAATTGTTAAAATGATACACTGTGCACGAACCCCGATATGATTATGAAATAATGCCATGA